TGCACCTTCTTTAAATAAAGTTTATTATTACTATTATTATTATTATTATTATTATTATTGATCAAGTACACACGAAAAATATCACATCTCCAGGTAAGAGTAGGCCAGGCAAGAGCAGAAACGTTCTATAAAAAAATAACGCCAACGCCTAATGCGTAGGAAAAGCTGTCATTTAATTTCAAGCAATAAATTCCAGACGAGTGGATCTGTTCAGCGATGACTATACTTATAAGCAATGTTATACTCTCCTAGGTGAATATAGCCGAATCTCTCAACGACGAAGAGGTAAAGAAGATTCATGATGGTCGGAATACGAAACTCGGATACCCAACCACTCGAAGAAGTTGGCATGGACAATCGTCGGCACGTGTTTCGTTCCGACAGTCTCCGACAAACAAAAACATAATTCCAACAAATGGTTCTCCCAGATATTCCTTGAATGGACAGCAACAACCAGTCCATGCAAAACTAGTTGCCGTAAATAATCACGAAGATAGGATGCGTGCGCATTGGTCTACCGGTAGTCCCCGACTGCATGCTTCGGAAAGGCCTCGGCTTTTGTCAGATACTGTTGTCATGAACAGACCTCGTGGATACCCGAGTATGAATTGTAACGTTCATCCTAATTTTGAAAGGAATTTCAACGGGTGTCGGAGCAGAAACGTCGAAATGGCACAAGCGTCGGATGTCGGTGTAAGACCAGAACGCCGGCGATCACCGCCCGATTATTTGACAGCAATAAAGCACTCAAAAGGTAGATTTTGTATTATCTATTTAGGAAAGCACGCAATTAGCCATTCGGAAGTTGATGAGTGGACTGGGGACGAGTGTTAAAAAGTCAGTGCCGAAATTAAGAAATGAACCAAATCACTAAAAAGACCACTTCAAAATTAGTGAATATACAAAGTTTGAAGACGTTTACATGAATACCCTTCGAATTATAAGCTTTCGAAAATTGTGAAATTACTGATTAAAAGACTGTTTTTGGGACGCGCGTCCGCAAAAACAAGAATTACAGTCCATTTCATCATACGGTAAATATCGCGATTTTCGAAAGCTTATTATTCGAAGGGTATTCATGTAAACGTCTTCAAACTTTGGGCACTTTTTAACAACACTCGTCCTCAGTCCTCTCATCAACTTCGGAATGGCTAATTATTTTACATTTGCAAACTAAGCATTCGAAACTTCACTAACTATCATGTTTCGCTCGCTACTCTGGTTTAAATAAATGATTACAAAGCCCAGTCGAATTGTAATCAAGACCCAACGTTTCGACACTCCAGTCTAGTGTCTTCATCAGGGGTGATCTAAAACTGCGATCATGGCTTCTTAAATACCCAAGGGATGACGTCACCTGCCAAGAAGATGCATATATTCCTCTGGCAAATAGGCGCCGTCATCCCTATTCAAAGCATGATGACTTATATTTATATGCCACGCTTCTAGGCAAAGTCTTTGACCATAGCGATTGTTTGTGGTAATTACTTTAGAGTTTTCCCACGCAATCTCGTGTTTGGTGTAACATACATGTTCGGCTAAAGCTGATTTTCCCTTGTCTAAAGTTGAAACAGCCTTTTGATGTTCTTTTAGCCGTGTACCAAACTGGCGTTTAAACTGACCCAAATACTCTTTGTCGCAGTCACCGCATGGTATAGAATATATAGCATGAGTCTTCTGATTTTTTTTTCAACAGGATCTTTTGGCTTTGCGAAAATATGGCCTAAGGTCAAATAGGGCTGGCAGGTGACGTCATCCCTTGGGTATTTAAGAAGCCACGATCGCAGTTTTAGATCACCCCTGATGAAGACACTAGACTAGAGTGTCGAAACGTTGGGTCTTGATTACAATTCGACTGGGCTTTGTAATCATTTATTTAAACCAGAGTAGCGAGCGAAACATGATTGATATACCTGGTTGCAGTGAACGAACAAACTTTATATTCACTAACTATGTTTGGAAGACTTGTGGCTCTAACTGTAGGAAAACAAATTTAGCTATTTGAGTATTTAGTTGTAGCGACGAAGGGAAAAAATAGTATTTGAATGAAATCGGCCAGTCACATTTAAAGCTACATAACAAGAACAATTCTTAATGTTTGTTTCAGGTCTACAGAGGAAGGCATATCGTGCTTACTTTCCAGGAGCTGAGAAGCATTTGGCGAACACGGATAAAGGGTTTTCAACTGGCCGCCATTCGCCCACAGAAAGAAACAGGTTTCACACTAAACCAAAAGAGCCCATGTCGCATATTGTTAAAGAAACGTCGTTTGTCGGGCCATCGATTTTCACGAAATACCAGCCGTCCTCAGATCCATCCTTCACTCGCGCACGTCGGTCGAGAAGTCTCAACGAGAAGGATACGATTGCGAGACGAAGGCTTCAAGATTCCGATATTTACAGAAGACGGGCGATGGAAATTAGTCAGAAACATTACAGTGACGGGGACTGTTTGAACCATTTTTCAAGGTAAATCTCGCTAAAGTACTTCATACCCAAAAATTACGAAATATACATTGTAATTTTAATTGAATTTCTCTATCATTTTTTCCCATCGGGAAAACTACTATTCCCCATGTTATTGCAGGAGAACCTAAACAGGGTTGGTAAGTTAGATGAATAATTAGACCAAATCGTCATTAGTGCCGTTTAGAAAACAAAGAAAACAAAAGGCGAAGACAAAGAAAACAAAGGCCTAGTGTGACGGTGTTTGGCCTAATTATTCAGCAAACCTATACTAACTCTGAACCTAAACTAAATTAATTTTATTAATGCTGGAAAGTTCTTACTATATCAGTTCCGAAATTGTTGTTAGTAAGATGTGTCATTTATTGGTTTCGACTTTTGATCCGCAAAGAAATCAAACTATAGGCCATAGCCCCCATGTATTTATGGGTTTGGTGCCGTGATTAAACACTTGATACACCAGCTCTAAAAACGCCCAGGTTAAAAATTTCCAAGTTTATTATTAGCATGACAAAATTACTGGATGCTGATTGGCTGAGAGGAGTACAATTATTTCATTAATTGTACTGCAGTACAATTAATGATTTTCCCAAAACAAACAAAATGGCGGAAAGGGATTTTAAACACAGATGT